TGCTAAACCACTCACCTGGTGGAGCCAGACAACAGACCTTCCTATATTAAGGCCATTTCTATGCTAAATGGAAGATCGCCATTGCCACAATCAACCTTCCAGAGTTTGATTTAGCAAGTCTAGTTAAGACTCGCTAAATCGAACTCAGAGGGTCCCCCCTGCCTGCTGCCAGTACTCCTGCTCCTGCGAGAAGTAAGAGAAGACAACAGCAGCTTTTACTTGCGTCAGCCTCCCACTATGGGAATGGCATGGAGACGCAAAACACGGGACGTTGACTCCAACTACATAATTAAACGTTGCTAGAGTTGCATAGCTTGCTTCAACCTTCCTCTTTAGCGTAGACCTGGCCTAAGAGACAGCCCCAATACGAACATCCCATTTTGTTCCCGAGCCTCTTCCAACTCCTGTTCCAAAATACAAACCTTACCCCAAAAAGAGTTTTGGTCCTGAAAAGGGAGATGAACCAGAGACTCCATGAAGCCCACTAGAGTCTTCACTCTTGCTACTAGCGTTACCAGGTAGTCTTAAAAAAAATACCAGACACGCTTCATGGGGTGGTGTGTGGAGAGAACAGAATTCAAAATGGCTGCCCTTAAAGGGATAAGTCTCCTTTTTTTTTGTCTGGGGAATGGCCGCCTTTAATGGGAGATATGGAAGAGCAGGTTGGATAGACATCTACCAGGGAAGGTCTAGATCGGTGTTTCTTAAAGTGTGTTCCATGGTACCACTGGTGTGCTGTGGAGAGAACAGAATTCAAAATGGCTGCCCTTAAAGGGATAAGGCTCCTTTTTTTTTTGTCTGGGGAACGGCCGCCTTTAATGGGAGATTTGGAAGAGCAGATTGGATAGACATCTACCAGGGATGGTCTAGATCAGTGTTTCTTAAAGTGTGTTCCAGGGTACCACTGGTGTGCTGTGGAGAGAACAGAATTCAAAATGGCTGCTCTTAAAGGGATAAGCCTCCTTTTTTTTTTTGTCTGGGGAATGGCCGCCTTTAATGGGAGATATGGAAGAGCAGGTTGGATAGACATCTACCAGGGATGGTCTAGATCGGTGTTTCTTAGTGTGTTCCAGGGTACCACTGGTGTGCTGTGGAGAGAACAGAATTAAAAATGGCTGCCCTTAAAGGGGCAAGCCTCCTTTTTTTTTTTTTTTTTTTTTTTTAACCAAACAGAGCCCCAGAAAACCGGACACCTAACAACCTACTTGCTACTGATTTTGGGTAGAAGGCACTCAGATACAGGGGCAATGGTACAAAAGCCCTTAGATCGACAGCAACTGCTTTAGGTACCAATGTCAGCTCCCTTAAGTTAGTCAGCCCCTCACTGTCAAACGCTTGTCTCACAACGGACCGTCAGGAACGAATACTCCACGGAGGATAATGGAGATCAATGTTAAACCTTCTGCTTCACATTTACGCTCTTCTCTTCAAGCCCCTCCACTTCCCTGTCCGCACTTATCTTGCGGTAAGAAAACCATTTAGGATTGCAGAAGCCAAGCACTTGGATACAATCCTGCAAAGCACCCACTCTCTTACTGACGAAGTTTTAATGAGGATGACGCCCGCTCCAGGAAGGTGCAAGCAGAACGGGACACTTGTGGCAGGGTTGCAGCCCAGGACGTTGTGTAGGAAATCAGGGGTTCCCCCACCCCCAGACCAATCATGCTCCTTCTGGTTTAGGCTCCGCTCCTTCTGGGGCGGCCTGGGGCTATTTCAACAATTTCTGAAGTGTCCCCTAGTCAAAAATTATTGCTCACCTCCTGAGTGTCAAGTCCTGAAAACATTTCCAGCCTGGAGTAGGATATGGGTGGAAATGATTCCAGGACTTGACACTCAGGCGTGTCCCTGGAGGCAGACCTAAGAGCCTTGGCCAGCATGAACAGGGCTCACTTGGCACAACCTGCTGAGGTCCCCAATTGTGCCCTACAGATCTGAAATTGTATTTGCTTGAACAGAAGCCCCCTGAACAAGCACAATCCCAATGGACTCCCCTCACACGGTATTTCAAGTCACAGGCTACAAGGCCGGCTCTGGAAACCATTTTAAAAGAAGGCCCCAGGATGATTATGGGGACGACGTGCTGCAAAGCTAGCAGAAGGGACAATTTAACAATGCTCAGTGCCCGAGGAGCAGGATAAAGAAACCGGAGTAAAAACACTGAAAGCCACAAACACGTTTACATTTGGAAGGCGAGAGACGAGCCACAGGCTGTTGTGGTAGAAGGAACAGTGTAGCCAGGAGAGTTAATAGGTGGGTTTTTCCAGCGTTGTTGGTCACATGACACAGTGTGTGTTTCCAACTGCCACCACAACATAACTTCTAGGGCGGTGTGATTATACCAGGCTCCCCTGACTCAGCGTTTAAACCACCAGCTCTTCTGCTCAGCTATGAAAATTTCTCCGGACTCCAGGCTTGGAGTGCGAACCCTGCACTGTGTGCGAATTGACTCCGCTTTCCAGAGGAGACCACAGAGACAGACAACTCATCACGCTGCTGGGGCTGAGTGTTCCCTAGGACACATTTTCCAATGATTTATGCAGCCTCGTTTTAAAAAGGTCCCAAGCAATATGGCTTCCATCACTTCCTTTGGACCTCTATTCCCCGTCGTCAGAGTCTACCAGCAAGTTCTCTCAGATATAAAACCGAGAAAAAATTCCTAACTGTCAGGGTGGTCAAATATTGGAATAAATTGCCAAGGGAGGTGGTGGAATCTCCCTCTCTGGAGATATTTAAGAACAGGTTAGATAGACATCTGTCAGGGATGGTGTAGACGGAGCTTGGTCCTGCCTTGAGGGCGGGGGGCTGGACTCGATGACCTCTTGAGGTCCCTTCCAGTCCTATTATTCTATGATTCTATGAAAGGGAAAACAGGCTGAATCCTACTTGAGTTCGTGCTGCTACAAATAAATCTCCCTCAGACATTTCCACCACCCCTCTTTTAGGGAGTTCTGTCCCTGTTCTCGATGGCCAGACCCTGTCTATATAGCTCTTAATCGCCACAACCCGACAGAATTTGACTAGAGTGTAGGCTGTGGGGTGGGGCTGAGGAGGAGAGAGTTTTAGGTTTCAGGAGGTGGCTCCAGCTTGGGGAGGAGAGATGGGGAGGGAGGGCTTACCTGGAGCAGCTCCCAGTCAGTGGGGGAGGGAGGGGAGGCTAAGGCAGCTTCCTGTCTCTCCTGGCACCACTGACCATGCTACGCCCCAGAAGCAGCCAGCAGCAGGGTCCCAGCCAATGGGAGAGCGGAGCTAGGGCTCAGGG